CATTCACAGTGTGAGGTTTGAATAACAACAGATATTGCTTGTCTCAGAAAAAGTAAAAAAATCTGGAGATGCTATAGAAAAAACTTATCAAATGAAGATTTAAAGAATCATTCCACTGGCTTGAGTCCAGGTAAAAATCTGGATATTGCTTTTGTTTCTTACCCAGTTTTCAACATATCAGAATAAGAGAATTAACTGTGAGGGTGTATTTGACAGTCAAACAAAGCTTTCCAGCTAGAAGAGAAAAACCTAAACTCCATTATCCCCACATAGAAATGGAAGCTTTTTGAACATTACCTGTTTTTTTAATTACAAATCAGATTATATATACTATTGTGTTTGCTTTTCTTAAAGTTGTTTTGTCAGGGAAGAAATCATGCATTTGTTTGTCAGGATTAAATAATCCCCAGATGCTCTCCATTTTACAAAGGAATGTATAGGCAAAATTTGAGTTTGCCTCTCAGTGTATCTGTAGACTATTCTGATTCCGAAAGAGTCAAGATTTTTAACATGCAGTTCCTTGAAATGTATTTTCAGCATGTATTCTTAATACATTCATGTAAGTTCAGAGTAAAAGTAAGACATTTGTTCTTTAGAGTTTGAATTTTGCAAGCTTCAATATTGTATCTTTTTATAATATCAAGAGCTGGAAAAGGGGATTTTTATCTTACCTGTAGGATTGGTTATAACACTGTCTTGGAGACACTCTTCTAACTTATCTATGCCACTTTAATAGCAGTTCCTTATTCTTTCACTTCCCCCCTCCCCCCCTTAATTGGAACATGCTAAAAGTGTTCAGAAAAGAATTCTAGCTAACTGGTCCCTGTGCCTCTCATGGAAGAAAGAGCTGTAGCACCTCCAGGTGTGTGTGTAGAGGAACTTTTTCTTAGTCTTCGTTATGACAGTCACCTAAATGAATGTAGGTGTAGTATGTTTAATAGCATGTGTTCATTCAAGGTTTTTGGGGTTCTTGCATCACAACAGCATCGAGAACCATCAGGCATGGTTGCTTGACATTGTTGAGCAGGGAAAATGCCAGAAGCATTTTCCAATGTACTCATTCTCCAAATAAGCAAGGGTTTCAGTTCTCATGATAAGTCATTACCCTCTATTTTATCAGCAGG